TTTTTTCATTATTATTATTATTATTATTTTGGAAAAATCATCGCGGATGCGTTTTGTAGAAAAACCGGAAACCGAAACCGATTCGGGACGACAAAATTTTTTTTTTTTTTTTTTATAAAAACCTCCGCAAGCGTGAATTTCATCGTCGTGTAATAAATTTTATTTTTAAATAATGAAACGATTGGGGTTGCATCATACACAAACAAACCCGAAACCATAAAATATTATTATTATTATTATTATTAAATGCGGATTTTTATTTTTTACCGTAAACAGACACGCGAATCTATTTCCACGATATTAACGAAAAAAAAAAAAATCAAAATCTGTTATAATTACCCATCATTGTTTGAATCATACTCATCAATATGAGAAAAACCCTCGTCGTTGTCCTCATCGATGTCGTGGCAGCAATCAATAAAAATAAATTTATTTTCAAAAACTAAAAATAATTAGATTTTATTATTATTATTATTATTATTATTATTTTTATATATATAATTTAATTATTAAAAAAAAAAACGGTTGACAAATTTATAAAATACCTTTTTCCAAATATTTCTTTTCTCATTATTAATACGATTCTCGTATAAAAATTTACACAACCTGAAAAAAAAACGTGGAATTAGATTCGTTAATTTTCTTTTTTTTTTTCTTTTAAATTTAATCGGAAAATTTAAAAAAAAAAAAAAAAAAAATTTACTTTTTCAATGTTATTTCCAATCTCCTTCGTTTGTACGACGTTGAAGGACGCGACTTGTGGCGACGATTTACTTAACACTGGATAAAAAAAAAAAATGAACCTATTAAAAATAAAACAAATGCGGTGGGATTTGACCCCATTACTCTTATTATTATTATTATTATTATTATTATTATTATTACTACGAGTTTTAATAAGCCTGAAAATTTTCCACCTTTTAATGGATTTGGAAAATGATAAATCGAACCTGATAAAAAAAAATAGAAAAACAAATTTTGTTTCTTTTTTTAAAAACCCTACACTGCTGGAATTGAAGAGAATGGAATGAAGAGAGAGAGAGAGAGAGAATAAGACAGAAAGATAGAGAGAGAGAGACAAAGGGAAGGAGGGGGGGTATAAAAAACCTACCCGGGACATCAATCTAACCCTTATCATTATTATGAGTATAAAAATACGTTACGTAAATTTTATTAAATTTTTTTCCTCTCTCGATTCAATCAACAACAACAACCACGACAACAACAATAACAATAATAATAATAATAATAATAATAATATTATCGGTAATAATAAGCAAACGACTAAAAATTTTAAAAATTTTCATATCAAATCGTAAAAAAAAAAAAAAAGAAAAAAAAAATCTGATGAAAATCTCGGAAATGAAAATTGAAAAACTTTTTACAAATATAACGCGCATACATGATGTCGTGATTAAAATTCATAATAATAATAATAATAATAATAATAATAATAATAATAGTTTAAAGTTAAAAAAAATTTCTAATAATAAAAAAAATTTTTTTAATAATTTTTTTAATAAAACAAAATAAATCAAAACTTTCGAATATATATTTACTTCTTTAATATATTTTTTTAATTATTATTATTATTATTATTATTTCACAAAAAAAAAAACAGAAGACTAAAAGTTAAAATTTCTCATTCTCCCCCCCCCCACTCCCTTCCCTCCTCCCCAACCAACTCAAACACATTTGAAAAATAATAAAATTTAAATTTTCTTTAGAAAAAAACTTTAAAAAAAAAAAAACTTTAAAAAAAAAATTATTTGACATTATCATTATCATTATCATTATTATTATTATTATTATCGTTATTAAAGAATCCAAGTTTTTTTTTTTTTTTTTTTCAAGCATATTTTTTAAAG